AGGAACCTTCGACGCATGCATTTCGATGCCTGTATATAGTAACACCTACTCGACGGTGGTCGAGTAAATGTAGAGGGGAACGCGAATAAGTCATCAACTGGGATTGCAGAAGTGTCGAAAAGGACTAAAACTGGAAATTTAGAAATAAACGGCAAAAAACGACGCGACGCATATATTTAGCGTTACCTACTCTCGTTTCCGCGACAGCGCTCCTCCCCGGGACTCGTATCTGAAAAAGTAGGGCCGCGCGCCGGCCGTAAATTTTCGCGGTGAACGCGAATAAGATCCAAACGGGGAGGGGGATACGACCGAAACGGGCTAAAACTCGAATTTTAAAAAAAAACCGAACATTTTCGTTAAATACGATAAGACGGAACTGATAGCGAAACGACGAAAAAAAAAAAGTGAAAAAAAAATTCATTACGATTTAACACGGCCGCCGCAAATTAACGAAAATCCCGGCGGCCGGGTTCGAAACCACGACCCTCGAGTCACCTGTCCTAACGCCTAACCAACCTAGCCACCTACTGAGATGAAGTTTAGAGTCAAATGTATGACTCATAAGCCACGTCACCGTGCACGCGAAAGGCGAACGCCGTTTGGACGGCCGTCAAAAGGCGTTTGAGGGGGCGATCCGACCGCTTCGGCGAGCGGACCTCCGGATCCGCCACCCTCTGACGTATGAAACGCGAGATTTGCGAAAAAAAATCGAACCTCGAGACGCATGTATTTATGCCTGTATATAGCGATACGTAATCGGTACCTACTCTCGTTTCCGCGACGCCACTCCACCCCCAAAGCTCATTTTTGAAAAAGTAGGGCCGCGCGCCGGCTATAAATTTAGCGTGGAACTCGAATATGTCTCCGACGGGCAGGTCGGACGTCTCGTAGAGGTGCTAAACGCGACTCTAGTCGAAAAAGTCGAGAAAACCGTCGAAACGGCGACGACGCGGCGCTCTCGGCGATCAAATCGTCTGCCGGGGGACTCGTTATTGAAAAAGTAGGGCTTCGCGCCAACTGAAAAATTTAGCGGGGAACGCGAATAAGATCCAAAAGGGGAGGTCGATACGCCCTAAAACGCCTAAAACTCGAATTTTCGAAAAAAACGGCAAAAAACTCGCGCGACGGCGACGCTCGTATCGCACTTGACATCGGCCGCGTTGGGCCCGCAGAGAAAAAAGTACGGCGGACTTATAATAGTAAATTTAGCGAGGAATGCGAATAAGGTCCAAACGGGGCCGCCCGAGGATCCGAGGGGAGTAAAAGTCGAAAATTTTGAAAAAAAATCGTGAAAAGTGATAAGGAGGAGTGATAACGCAGCGACCGCGACGGCTCCGCAAAAAACGACGCGACGCATGTATTTATGCCTGTATATAGCGATACATACACGGTACCTACTCTCGTTTCCGCTCACGTTTAACCTCCCCTGGACTCGTTTTTGAAAAAGTAGGGCCTCGCGCCGAATAAAAATTTAGCGGGGAACGCGAATAAGGTCCGAACGGGACCTTCCGGGGCCCCGAGGGGGGTAAAACTCGAACATTTTGAAAAAAAATCGTGAAAGACGGTCGAAACCGCTAAAGCGATAAGAAGGAGTGATAACGCGGCGACGGCCGCGCCGCCGCAATTTCCCACCATTCGTTCCTTTACTGTCCCTATCGGTGTGGCGATGCGGATTTTACTGTCCCTATCGGGGGACCCGAACTCCTCCCCTGGGGGGGATAGGGGGTCCGGGTTTGCGGGGGCTGGTCGGCGCCCTCGAGAGCTGCTAGGATAGCGTCGAGGGGGCAACATTTTTTTCCCGGACCTCTAGGAGCAACCGTTGCGGAGTTACGGCCGAAAAACCGTGGTGATAAGGAGGAGTGATAACGCAGCGACGGCTCCGCCGCCGCGTTTTCCCGCCATTGTCCACTAAGCAGTTCGGATTTAACGCATAGGCGGCGCCACACGTGTTCATGCTTTATAGTATAGAGACTAGCTCTCCGAGCGTCGCTGGGGGACACCCACAGACCCCCGTGAGCGGACCCCAAATGTTGTCGATTTCGGAAGCAGCGGTGATCTCGTGGTGTGGTCGTGGGTCTCAGCCGACGCGGTGTATGGGTGATGTGGAGGTCTGGTGATAAGGATGTGTGATAAGGATAGGACCACTGCGGTTCGACGTGGTAGCCTGTGGTAGCCAGGGCAGAGTCTTTGACAGAGTCTTTTCGACGACGCCGCCGGAAATTCGAAATTTGATAAAAAAAATAATATAGTAATTTTTGTGGGTATCTAGCAGTTCGGTCACCTAGAGTGACGTTCGCCGTAGTAATAGTATTTGGGATCTAGCGGGTCAGTCACGTTCCTCGACTTTGGTCGTAGTCACCCTTTAAGACAATATTCGACGGTCGGGGCACGTCATCAAGTATGCAATCCGACTGCGTCGAATAGCGGACGACGTTCATTACTGTTACCGAAAAAGCAAAAAAAGTAATAAATTACTTGAAAAGTATTTAAAAAATTTCGGACGTCCATGCAAATCATATAGCCGCCGTATTTTTTAGGGTGTCTAGCAGGTCAGTCACCTCGAATGACATTCGCTATAATAATAGGAGTAGGCTATCCGACTTGGACGGATAGCGGACACTGTGCGACGGCCGGGTCACGTCATCACGTATGCAATCCGACTGCGTCGAATCGCGGACGACGTTCATTACTGTTACCGAAAACTCAAAATTAAAGGATAAATTACGTGAAGAAAATTCAAAATATTTCGCTTGTCCATTCATATCATATAGCCACCGTATGATTTTTTGGTGTCTAGCAGGTCAGTCATCTATGTTATCCGGGTAGGCAATGTGCGGCCGGGACAGCGTCCATTGCAGTCACCGATAACGCAAAATTAAGTAATGAAATACGTGAAAAAAAATTCAAAACATTTCGTAAGCAATCCGACTACCGAGTCACCTTCCTCGACGTAATTACGCGAAAATATGTTTTAGGGTCTAGCAGGATCTAGGGTCTAGCGTCGGATAGCGGACAACGTGTGACTTCTGACGCAAAATTAAGTAAAGAAATTGGTATATGTTTTGGTGTCTAGCAGGTCAATCACCTTCCTCGACGTTGGACGTAGCAACCCTGGTAGGCAATCTGACTTCGTCGGATAGTGCGACGTCCGGGTCAAGGCATGAAAACGCCAAATGACGTAAATCAAATGTTTATAAATAATAACATTTCGGGCGCCCGTGCTAGTCATAATATAGTCGCCGTGATTTGTTGAGTGTCTAGCAAGTCGGGCGGCCACGTTTAATAGTTTTTGTCGTTTATAGTAATTAGTAGGTAGTAGAGCGATTTAGAAGCGAAACTCGATAAGCTGATGACGTTTCCGTTAATCATATTTATATGACGAAAAAAAAAACGCGAAAAAAACATTGAAACTTTTCGTCGCATATTTTCATTTCAGTATATAGTAATAACGACACTGTCCGCTCTCCGATCTCCTCCGCGGCACTCGACTCGAGCGAAGTACTGACTTATACATTTGGCGGGGAACGCGAATAAGCCTTCGACTGGGAAACTCGAAAAAATCGTAAAATGTTCGTTATAATATGATAAGGCTGAAGTGAAATCGAAAAGTAATAATAAATAAAAAGTGAAAAAAAAGGAACCTTCGACGCATGCATTTCGATGCCTGTATATAGTAACACCTACTCGACGGTGGTCGAGTAAATGTAGAGGGGAACGCGAATAAGTCATCAACTGGGATTGCAGAAGTGTCGAAAAGGGCTAAAACTGGAAATTTAGAAAAAAACGGCAAAAAACGACGCGACGCATATATTTAGCGTTACCTACTCTCGTTTCCGCGACAACGCTCCTCCCCGGGACTCGTATCTGAAAAAGTAGGGCCGCGCGCCGGCTGTAAATTTACCGAGTAACGCGGGGGTAAAACCCGAACATTTTGAAAAAAAAACCGAACATTTTCGTTAAATACGATAAGACGGAAGTGATAGCGAAACGACGAAAAAAAAAGTGAAAAAAAAAAAAAAGATTTAACACGGCCGCCGCAAATTATCGAAAATCCCGGCGGCCGGATTCGAAACCACGACCCTCGAGTCACTTGTCCTAACGCCTAACCTACCTGGCCACCTACTGAGATGAATATCTTAGTCAAATCTATGACTCTTAAGCCGCGTCGCCGTGCTCGCGAAAGGCGAACGCCGTTTGGACGGCCTTCAAAAGGCGTTTGAGCGGGCGATCCGACCGCTTCGGCGAGCGGACCTCCGGATCCGCCGCCCTCTGACGTATAAAACGCGAGATTTGCGAAAAAAATCGAACCTCGAGACGCATGTATTTATGCCTCTATATAGCGATACGTAATCGGTACCTACTCTCGTTTCCGCGACGCCACTACTCCCCGGGGCTCGTTTTTGAAAAAGTAGGGCCGCGCGCCGGCTATAAATTTAGCGGGGAACGCGAATACGTCTCCGACGGGGAGGTCGGACGTCTCGTAGAGGTGCTAAACGCGACTCTAGTCGAAAAAGTCGAGAAAACCGTCGAAACGGCGACGACGTGGCGCTCTCGGCGATCGAATCGTCCGACGGGGGACTCGTTTTTGAAAAAGTAGGGCCGCGCGCCGACTGTAAATTTAGCGGGGAACGCGAATAAGATCCGAACGGGGAGGTCGATACGCCCTAAAACGCCTAAAACTCGAATTTTCGAAAAACACGGCGAAAAACGCGCGCGACGGCGACGCTCGTATCGCACGCGACATCCGCCGCCGCGGGCCCGCCGGGCCAAAAGTAGGGCCGCGCGCCGACTATAAATTTACCGAGGAACGCGAATAAGGTCCGAACGGGGCCGCCCGAGGCCTCCGAGGGGGGTAAAACTCGAAAATTTTGAAAAAAAAATCGTGAAAGACGGTCGAAACCGCGAAAAGCGATAAGGAGGAGTGATAACGCAGCGACGGCTCCGCTTCCGCGATTTCCCGCCATTGTTCACTATAGCAGTTCGGATTTAATATATTATGTTTACAGTGTACATGATTTATAACCAACATAACAACCGTCTTGTTCCGGATATTTCTGCCGAATTTTATTTACAACACACGATGGAATAACAATACGATTACCTATATAAAACCAAAAATTTAATCACTTGTATTTATACGTTCCTATACATATTTAAAAGCATTAGTTAACATATTGCATTATATTATGAATGGACTTGTAGTCATCCTACCTTTTCCTATAGAATTCCACGAGTTAATCCAATGAGTAAATTGTTTATAACAAATATACCTCCACATCTTATTTGTTGGTTGTGACGAACTTAACATTTTTTTTTTACTTTTATTTTTTGATTTGACAATGATTTGTTGTCGAGTAATATTGAGAACCTAATAAACGCAATCAATAATATCGAGGGCAAAATTAAAAAACTGTATCTACTGTGTCTTTATTATGTAGGTACCTGATATATGACTTACTTCTTCATCTAAAATAATTTTTGAAAATGAGCTTATCTCCGTTATACATGTTTTTTTGTTACTATGTGGTAGTAATTTATGTAATTTTTCTAACTCAAAGCAACAAATACACTCTTGGTCAGTAGTAAACCAAATACATTTATTACATAAACACCAATCGTTCACATTAATTTTTGAACGACCCTCTAATTGTTTTGGTATATCTGGTTCATTTCTACCCGGCTGAATATCAGCCATATCAATATCGTTCACAGTGGGCTCAAAACTATATGGACGTATTGACATATTTAAATATTTGTAATACACTGTCAAAAACAAATAAAAATTGTTATAAAACATATTTTGCTTATGCGAGAACACTTCTTATAAATTATAATATAATATAACATTATAACATAATATAGGTACTTATAACTTTTTCAACTTTATATAAATAAAATATATAATATGTAATTAACAAATTATTATTATTAATGAATAAAATAAAAATGATTATAATTTATAATACATTACTTTACCTCATAAAACAAAATTCCAACGATGAAAATATAAAAATACGTCCATTTGCGAAGACGTATAAACGGAAAATGCGGTTGATCGACGTTCGTCAACATAGAATAAGTCTTATTTTGGATAAAAACATAATTAACCAAATAGAGTATTTGCATACGTCTGTTCATTGTTGTGTCTACGAAGTTATTTATGATATTATAATTGAATATTATAACAAAAATTATAAATAAATAGTCTAGACGGCGGCGTCGGCGATTCCTGTATAAAAGTATACGCCGCCGCCGCGCTGTGTGATCTTGTGACGTCACGCGCCTATCTCTCTTTGGCTCTAGCGCCTTAACGAATCGACGTATACAAATTTTAGTACCACCGTTAGTTATAGTAATTAACTAACTATTAATTAAGCCAAAATCATTTTTTTGTTTCATGGTCCTTTAATTGTCCAGTTGTACGTTATTATATATTGTACTTATACATAATCATATTGTCGTGTTATTACTTATTATATTAATGCTAACATCATTAGTCCGTCAAGCTTCACTTTCAACAGGTTATGGGCCCAGTCAATAACCAAGACCAACAGTCTAGTGGATTCGTGATCGAAGTATTTTTATATTTGTATTAACGCATAAAACTACAACCAGTCGGAGATATCCTGGATTTCGGAAAACGGCGGAACAGTGTACATAGGTAAAGTTTTGTTATAAATTGTTATACAGGAAAGTATACGGGAATCCATCGGTCATGGAAGACACGGTGAAGATAACAAAATTATGTGCGGAAAACTGGTCGTTATGGAAGTTCCAGATGAAGGTCATTTTAAATGCCTTGGAAGTAGGTGAGATAGTTTCAGGCGAATGGACGAAACCAAGTCTACCTATAAAAAAGTCGGCAGGAGAGACCGACGAGGATGCCAAAGCACGTTGGCAAAGGCATACTAGCGCTTGGCAAAAAGCGGACGGTAAATGCCAGAAAATAATAGTTACCTCAGTGGACGATGGTCCATTACAATATTTGATTAACTGTGAGACTGCATTGGAAATGTGGGAGAAACTGCTGAGTATTTACGAGCAGAAGTCTGAGGCAAGTACACATTTGCTTCAACAACAATTTTTCAGTTATTCAAAGGAGTCGACAGATGACATGTCGACGCATATTTCTAAATTGGTCAATTTAGGAAGGAAACTGAGAGTAGCGGGTGAACCAGTTACGGATAACATGGTTATGACAAAAATACTAATGACATTACCAAAAGAATATAATCATTTTTACAGTGCTTGGGATTCAGTCCCAACGGGAAGTAAAAATATAAATAATTTAACTAGTCGGTTGTTGATTGAAGAATCACGGGTTATCCAGATCAAAGGTGAAGTTGGTGAACAAGAGAAATCGAGTGCATTTTCAGCCAAATTTCAAAACAGATCCGATGGAAAAAACGGCAGTTATGGTAAAGGTAAAAAACAATTTACTAATAAAAGTAATGTTAAATGTTATTTCTGTGGTAAAATTGGTCATTATAAAAGAAACTGTAAGAATTTTCTAAGTAGTATGAAAGGTGGGAAAACCGGTACTACAGGTACAAATTTAAATGCATTTGTAAGCGAGTCAAGGATAAATGAAACTACAACAGATACGTGGGTTTTAGACTCAGGCGCGTCGGATCATATGAGCGCGAACCTAGAATGGTTTATAAGTTATGAACCATTGAAATATACACAACAGGTAACAATAGGTGACGGAACAAATCTATATGCAACAGGAAAAGGTAATATTAATATATTATCATACGTGAACGGTAATTGGAATAAAAATTACTTGGCAAATGTATTGCACGTGCCGGGATTAAAATTTAATTTATTCTCGTGCGGGTCAGCGTTAGACAAAGGTTTAGAACTAACGTCAGACAATAAAACGTGTGTGTTCAAAAGAAACGGGATTCCTGTATGCATAGAAACAAGATGCGGTAGGTTGTTTGAATTAAAGATCAAAGTTGAAGCACCATCGAAAGCTGAATGTTTTGCGAACATTGCAGTAGAAAAACGATTAGAAGTATGGCATAAGCGTTTAGCTCACCAGAATATTCAATACGCGAGGAATTGTTTGGCAAAACATAATATTGATTATTCAGCCAAGGACGATCAATTTGTATGCAGCGACTGCATAATCGGGAAACAACACCGTCAATCGTTCAGTAAAAGTGAGACCGAATATTTTAACGTCGGCGATTTAATACATGCTGATTTATGTGGACCGATGCAGAGGGACTCTATCGGTATGTCAAAATATTTTTTACTATTTAGAAATGACTACTCACATTACAGAACGGTATATTTTATTAAGAATAAATATGAAGTAAAAAATATTATGGAAACATTTATAAAAAGTGTTAAAACAGAGTTATAAAGTCGTGCCAGATATTAAACATTTACGAGTTTTTGGTACTGCGGTATATACACACATACCAAAGCAAAAACGTCAGAAATGGGATCCAAAAAGTGAAAAAGGAATATTTGTTGGGTATTCGAACAGCACGAAAGGTTATCGTGTATGGTATTCGAAAACAAATAAAATATCCGTGTGCAGAGACATTATATTCGAAGACGAATGTAATAATTATGAAAATGTAATTGCAGACACATTAGAGTTTACAGACACTCAAATTAATTCAACGGCCGTGCGTGAGAAGGACGAAAACATAGTCGATGATAGAAATGTTATGGTTCTACGTGACAGGAATACACTTAAGAAGCCGGGCAGGTATAATGTTCAGACTTTTATTGCTAACTGTGTCAGTCCATTGAATTATGATGAGGCAATTACTGGGTCAAACAAAAATGAATGGAATAATGCTATGAACGACGAAATTAATTCATTACACGAAAATGAGACTTGGACTCTAGTCGATTTACCACAGGATAAAGTTGCATTATGAAATGCATGGGTGTTCAAAACCAAATATAAAATTGACGGTAGTATAGATAAATTTAAGGCCAGATTGGTCATTTAGGGTTGTTCACAGAAATATGGTATAGATTACCATGAAACATTTTCGCCAGTGGTCAGATACGAATCAATAAGGGCGATATTCGCAGTAGCAGCTGTGGAAAAATTAATACTACGACAATTCGACATCAAGACAGCATTTCTGTACGGGGAACTACAGGAAGAAATATACATGGTACAACCACCAGGTTACGAAGATGGCTCAAATCAAGTATGTAAGCTTCAGCGAAGTTTATATGGCTTAAAACAAAGTCCAAGATGTTGGAATATACGCTTTAAGAACTTTTTAAATGCATTTGGTTTACAATGTACCGAAGCGGATGCATGTGTATTCAAAGCTGATAACAGCCAAATTATTCTTGCAATATTTGTTGACGATGGTTTAATCGCGGCAGATAATGAAGAGATAATAGAGAAACTTTTAACGAACTTGGAAAAAGAGTTTGAGGTTAAAAAGGGAAACTTAGAAATTTTCTAGGTATGCAGGTAAACTTAATGAAAAATGGTTCATTATTTGTGCATCAGACAAATTATGCATGTAGCATAATTAATAAATTTAATATGCTGGACGCCAAGGAACTTTCAATTCCGATAGACAAATCACATACTATTGAACAAAAGGAAGAATCGGAGATATTAAGTGAAGAAATACCTTATAGGCAGGCAGTAGGTAGCTTACTGTTTTTATCACAGGTAACGAGACCAGATATAGCATATGCAGTAAATTTTGCTAGTCGTTACTTAGCAAAACCAACTAAAGCTCATTGGAACTTGGTAAAACGGATTATACGATATGTCAAACGAACATTTAATTATGGCTTGTATTTTAATCATAATACACAATTGTCATTAGAAATATTTAGCGATTCAGATTACGCAGGTGACGTTCAGACACGATGTTCAACGTCAGGATTTCTATTCAGATACGGGTCGAGCATAATTGCATGGACATCGCAGAGACAACATTGTGTGTCATTGTCATCGACCGAGGCTGAATATATTTCGGCCAGTGAAGCTGTAAAAGGGATCATGTGGATTACGCGGTTGATAATAAGCTTATCAAAAACAGGTGATAAACAACCGGTATTATTCATTGATAATCAGAGTGCTATTCGTTTAGTTAAGAATCCGGAGTTTCATAAGAGGACAAAACACATAGACGTACGATATCATTTCATACGGGAGAAATACGAAGAAGGACAGTTCCAACTACAGCACATTGGAACAGAGGACCAGATTGCGGACATTCTAACCAAGCCTTTCGTTAAGGAACGATTCGAGAAGTTGCGGTCAGCCATAGGAGTGACTACAATTAAAGAAATTATTAATTGAGGGAGGGTGTTGAAATATACAATTAATATTAGTATTCAAACCATGTAAACACACGTGCGTGTACAATGTCGATTTCTAATAGATACTTATGCAGTTACGATATAGCTGTGTAACACCTTTACTATCGCTTTCTATATTATATACGGATACGGGATGGCCTCGATTGTTCATATAAATAGGGCCTTTGATGTATGTAATAATCACTTGCACAGACGCTGTCATACCGAGTGTACGCGGTGTGTGTGTATAGTCACAGTTTAATTGTCCAGTTGTACGTTATTATATATTATACTTATACATAATCATATTGTCGTGTTATTACTTATTATATTAATGCTAACATCATTAGTCCGTCAAGCTTCACTTTCAACAGTATTGCTTTTAAAAGTTAAAGATAAGAATGGTTTGAAGCATCGACTATGAATACGGCCCTTAGATCCTGGAAAATACATTAATTTTGGTCTGGAAAAAATGTTAACACAATTACTAACTTATTTTCAAAATAATATAAGCAATTTAGTTGAAATTAATATGGATTTTAATATTGACAGCTTGCCGTTAGCAAAAAGCTCTAAACAACAATTTTGGCCAATACTCTGTTTAATTTTAAATTTACCAAAAATATCAGATGCTGTCTTCCCTGTTGGTATATACTATGACACACATTGTAAACCATCTTCTATTGAAGAATTTATGAACCCTTTCATCACCGAATTATTAAATATATTAAATTCAGGAATAACTGTATCTAATAATAAAGTTTATAAAATAAAAATAAATCAAATCATATGTGACGCGCCCGCGAAGGCCTTTTTATTGAATGTGAAAGGCCACAACTCTCGTTTTGGATGCAATACATGTCGTGAAGAAGGTAGCGATTTAGAAAATAGAATGGCTTTTACAGGTGTTCATGCCCCTTTAAGAACTGATACCAGTTTGAGAATAAAATCTGATGATGAATATCATAAAGGCGTTAGTCCTCTTGAACGTTTGCCAATCAATATTATTCAGACAGTATGCTTAGATTATATGCATGTGGCCTGTTCAGGTGTTATGAAAAGGCTTTTAAAGTTTTGGGTACTAGGATCACAACAAGTTAGAATGCTTAAAACAAACTTAGAGCTTTGCAACACAGAATTAATTAAATTAAGAGAATATTTTCCTTCTGAATTTTCTAGACTGCCTAGATCTTTAAATGATATACTTTTCTTTAAGGCTACTGAATTCAGAATGTTTTTATTATATACTGGACCAATTATATTGAAAGGAAGGATAAAAAAAATTTATACCTACATTTTATGAAACTCCATTCCGTCATAAAAATTATTTTAAATATATATAAAATATTGAATCATAAAATTACATTGTAATGTCTCGGTAACAGCACATTTGTAAGGTTATTTAGGAGTTAAATAATGTATGTCCCTTAGAAGTTAAAAACTGATGTTAATGAGCTGCTACAATGTAATATCTCAAAGATGTCACAAACAAACCTCTCAGAGACTTCTAAACTTGAAGTCTAAGAGAAGTAAAAAATAAAAGTTCATCAATCGGGCGTTAGCATACCTAGAGAAATCCCATAAACTTCTCAGTGTCTAGATTATTAACATCGCACATCACAAAATGCGTTCTATATGACTTCTCCTGAACTGATTTTTGCACAGTCGCACAGGTCAGGAGCTATTTCAAATAGTTTGGACCGTTTTAAGATAAGGAAGCTTGAAGGACGACTTTTTAGATTTTTTTTTAATATATAGAGTAGGTAGTATGCACTATACAGTACATGGTAGGTAGTAGGTGGTACCATTGCATTACAATCTTTTAACATTTTAAGTAGGTAGGTACATTGACATATTGGTCATACAATAATCATAAATTTCACAATTATTATGTTATTTCATGTTGTGTCACAGGTATATTAAATAGTACAATCAATCCAGATTGCAGTGAATATATTATTTTTGATTATGATGTTGACTGACGGGAAAATGTGTTTACTGAATTAAATAACATTACTACAAGTAAATGTTCATATCCCATGTATAAGTATGCTACTGTATACTAGGCACTATTAAAATAAATAAAATTTTTAGCTAATAACCAAGAACCACAAGATACTCAAGAAGTTACAGAACAGATATCTAACCGACCAGAAGAATTCAACAATGAAATCCCATCAAGATCAATCTTACAAGTGGAAAAAAATTATGAGATTCCATCTGGTATGAATAAACATTTTTAATATTGTTAATTTATTTAAGTTTAAGTCAGTCACAGTTATAGTCATAACACTCTACTCCCCAATAATTAGTTTTATTTAGTTTTTAGTTGGCTGTTTGTGAAAAACTGAACAACTGTAGGTCCAATTGATTTAATATTAATTTATTGTTTTCCTATATTATTTTACTCTAATTTTATACCAATTTATAATATTTATTCCTTGCAGTAAACAAAGTAAGAAAAAGGATGAATGAGCCACTTAAGTTGTCAACTTTAAATTTTTTAGAACAAAAACATGTTAAGGGGGCTGCATTTCACGTATTTTTCATACGTTTTAGACCAATAAGCGGTGGTAAATTACACATACTTCGGAATGTAAGATTTAAATTTTTTATACATGTTTGAATTCATTGATAAAATATCTAGGTTTCTTAGGAAGTCGATTTTCAATTTTCAATTTAAAATGACCTTAAAATAACCATTTTTTTTTTTAGAAATCCCATGAAATAATTTGAAACATTTGTATTTATTTTGGGCACATCTGATTTTAAATAAAACAATTGATTCCTAAGAAACATAGTCTAGAAGTTTATAAATTCAACCATTTTTTCGAAATTACAATCGAACTTCGGGAAGTATGATTAATTTACTACTGCTTTTAGTAGTTTTTATAGTCATGCAAACAAAAATATATTTCATTTTTCGAACTGAAATGACTTGTGCGTGCGCGTCTGAGAGTTGTTTCCGGCGCGGTTGCCCGACTCGACGTGACAACGATTCTCGGAAACAATTAGCAGATAAGAATTACTTGATAGGTATACAAGAATAATTAATAGGCAACAATAATAATAATATTTTTCCAAAATTAAATAAAACCAATATACGAGTATAATATACTACCTATGAATAGTATGAATCATTATAATATTTGAACACTACACTTTGATCAGTAAAGTTTTCTGTGAGTTTCCGGTGGTTTGTGCTTTTAGATTCTGAGTGAAACGATGAATGTATTGATTTTACAATGATGTGTGTTTTTTTTTTATTTTTTATTTTTGTGTCTGTCATCACGTTTTAGGACAGTAAAAGTGCTTGGATTTTCTTCAACAGTAGCTTTTCTGATAGGAAAGTGAATCTATTTGGTACTTCAGGGGGTCAAAAGTGAAAATTTCCAAATATTTTCACGAGTGCCGGGAAAAACAACATAAAAATTAAGGAAAAACGGGAATTTTTACAATAAATTTTTTTCGAAAAGATCGATTTTGGTTTTTGGTGCAACTCTTAAAAAAATGACCGTAGGTACATGAAATTTTGACTAAATGTTTATATTAGCATTTTCTATACACGATAACATTTTAAAAATGTTTTGATTCATTTTGAACTGTTTAGACACATTTTCATTTTCAATTTTTTTTTAGTTTTTTTTCTAAAAATATCAATAAAATTTTTGTTGGTTAAAAAAGCTTGAAAATTTAATACAAGGCTCCTACTATATTGTTACAATGGCATTTGAAAAGTTTAGAAGGCGGTTTGCCACCTTCCTCCTTTGGTTGGCGTATTGCCATTGTGCCATGTCGTAATGGTATTTATCACGGATCCTTTGGGCTTGGCGTTTTGTTGCGAGTTGCGAGTTTGATGATTCTCTGTACTGGCGATCCATGACATTGCACTGACCTTGCTTGCGCTTTCTGTAGAATGCAACCGCTTGATTTTGGGGGCCTGGTAGTCTGTTGTTGGCTTCGAAGAGGAAAGTGGAAAACTTGGCAACAAGTTTGTCAAATTCGTTAATAGAGCTTTCGTTCGGATTGAGTACTATGTAAGATTCGAATTGATGAGCGTAAAAGAACAAATTATAATTATATTAAAACTAAACTATTTATATATTTTTTTTTCCTAGAACCACCTATCATAATCTAATATATGTTATTATTATTTATTATATTTATATATATATTTTTTAATCGACTTGTACGTCGTAATATGTTTTAACATTATTTCTGTGAACAGCGTAATGCCTCGCCGTCCACGTTGTATAATTACGTTTTCGTTTCCCACTACTGCTTTGACCTCGTATGGTCCTAACCATATTGGATCGAGTTTTGTTCTGTGATTATTATCTTTTCATAACACTAAATCTTTTACATGTATTTCTTGTGGATTTTTGTTTTTATCGTATATTTCCTTACTTTTTATTTTGGTTCTGGTTCGGCCTTCAATTTAATCGGTATCTCCAATGTACGTCCGTAAACTAATGCGTATTGTTGAAAATTAGTAGATGTGTGTACTGTCGAATTATATACAAAGAATTCAAAAGGTAATAAATGATCCCAATTATTTAAATCCTTGTCTACATAATGCAAGTATTCGGCTAAAGTCCTATGAGTGCGTTAAAAGGGGTTACCCTGCTGTCTAAAAGGACTAGTATTAACCTTTTCTATCTTTAATAACTTACAAATGTCAGCAAACGTTTTACTAAGGAAATTGGTACCTTGATCAGTTAATATAGTTCCCGGTATACCGTGTACACAAACGAAGTGTGTAACAAAGCTTCTGCTACCGTGTTCGCTTTTTGATCAGGAATTGGCACTCAAAAAGTGTAACGCGTTAGATAGTCTTCTATAGTTATAATATAAATATTGTTAGACAGTGTTGTCGGCCGTGACACGTCATTTGATCCGATAAATAATATCCGGTGACAAATGATCCGGTAGATAATAACCCGGTGACAAAATGACCGGCATCAAAAATATCCCGTGACGATGGTAACCGGCGATAATCAGTTTTCTGGTTTTCGTGTTGTTTAAATACACACTACAACATTTTAACACAACATAACATAACTTCAACACATCAACACCTGTAACTTCAACACATCAATACCTTTAATAAAATTAAATGTGCCGCTCGAATTTGTAATAAGGCAAAAAACTTTTATTATTGAATGAATATTTACATACCATAGGTACATCAAAAATACGATGAAAAAATTCCTCCATAGGAGTCCATCATACGACAATATGGAAATGTATTAATTTTATTAAAACTGAACAAAACTTGGTGGAAGCTAAAATAGAAAAAATTAATTTAGGAGAAAGCTATGCATCAAAAAGAAAAAAATATAAAGATTTGGACCAGCGACTAGAAAATTTTGTATTAAATTACAGCAAAGAGGTGATATATTAAATTACTTAAAAGGTATTGCTCATAATTTCAATTTTTAATCATTAAATTATATATATTTATAATAGAAAAACAATTATTTTATATTTTGACTGTCAATAATTTTGATTTTATATTATTTATTTATCATAGAAACACAATTATATTTATCCTACAATTATTATATTTATATTTATATTTAAATTATATATTTTAGATTCTGAGCGGAGCGATGAATGTATTGGTTTTACAATGATGTATGTTTTTATATTTTTTTTTTTTTTTTTTTTGTATCTGTCATCACGTTTTAGGACAGTAAAAGTGCTTGGATTTTCTTCATCAGTAGCTTTTCTGATAGGAAAGTGAATCTAGTTGGTACTTTGGGGGGTCAAAAGTAAAAATTTCCCAGTAGTTTTCACAAGCGCCGGGAAAAACAACATACAAATTAAGGAAAAACGATAATTTTTACGCAAAATCGGTTTTCCAAAAAATCGATTTTGGTTATTGGTGTAACTCTAAAACAAATGCACGTATATACATGAAATTTTCACTGGTTGTTTATATTTGCATTTTCTATACACGATAACATTTTCAAAATATTTTGATTTATTTTGAACTGTTTAATGACATTTTCATTTTCCATTTTTTTTTAGTTTTTTTTCTAAAAATATCAATAAAATTTTATTTATTGGTTGCAAAAGTAATAGAAGGCTCCTAATATATTGTTTCAAAGGCAGATGAAAAATATTAAAAATCCTTAGTCACAATTTTTTTTTTTAAGCATTTAAAGTTCAAAAATTGACAAAATATGGAAAAATCACGAAAATTAGCAAATTATTTTGAGTTAGGAATTCGTAAAAATTTTTCTTTTGAAATCTAAGATTTGAAAATGAAACACAAGATTCCTTATAAGATTATCTACC